GCTATTTAACAGAGGATCTTGAGTATACTATACTAATTGCGCTCGTCCCGACATTCGTTAGATCGCACGACTGTTACGCCCTGCAGATACCTCACAAATAATGAACTATTCCGTTTTCATTACGTGGAAAGAATGGAAAATATCTATTTGGAGTCAGCGAGAAAAAAAGAAGGGAAGATAGACGCAGAGCGAAAGAATCAGATTAAGCAGGTAAAAAATACTACACTTTGATCTTAGCCAAAAGGCCGTTTATTTACTTGACCCCCCCACTGAGCCAGTTTGTGACACAAGGTCGGTTTTTAGCGTGGGGACTCGAGTGTTTTCACTGGGGCCGCTGGTCCAAGCTGGTCTTAGCTGGTCATAGCTTGTCCAAGCTGGTCAGAGCTGTTCAAAGCTAGTCATAGCTGGTCTTGGCTTGTTCTAGCTGGTCCAGACCCGAATCGGTCCAAGCTAGGCGTAGCCGTGATCGAAGCTCAGCCAAAAGGCCGAAAAGCGATTGTATTTTTTCTGTCGCCTCGTGCATACAGGATGTGATACAAGTTCAATATTGGAGGCCTAAGTATGTGTAACCCTGCCAAGTGCAAAAATAAAAAATAAGCCAGCCCCGCAACTGTCGGTTTCACTGGCATCGGTATTACTATTGATCCTCACTCTTCAATGCAATGTGGGATTTACTACTGTGGGAAGCTGTTTCTCGGGACGGGGAACCTCTAAATAATACTTTCAGTTGTGTTCTGTCCAAAGACAGACACACTGTCCGAAAACAGGGACACAAGAGAGTTTCGCTCTGTTTGAAGACAGGAACAACACTGAGAAATGTCGTTTATCAGTCAATCCATGATGGGGACCTCAACAAAATCGTCATTTTTTAGGTACAAATATTTACCTGAATAAAATAACATTCTCTGTTGACTTATTTTAAAAATTATTAAGACAAATGTTCGTAAGACTGTGATTTGATTAGTGAATAGAAATAGCTAAGATATTTTTTTTATCTCTATCTTCTTTGGACGCGATAGATGTCGCGGCATTTGTCGAAAATCTCTAAAATGTTCCTCAAACCAATTTGTTTTCTATGACATTCTTGCATTTTCCTTTTGTAATAAATCAATTTTGTTAGAGTAGAGGGGTTCCATGAATATTGTAAACATTCACGCAACAAGACAGTTTTGATGTCATTGGCTGCTGACGGGTTTAGTCAGACCAATTGAGTTAACATACGCCACGTGAACATACCAACACTATTATGTAACAACCACAAGCCTAGATTGCTGACAAGTGGATCCATAACCTACTAATGTCAGCCCGCAACAGAGCCCCGACATTTTGATGAAACAACTGGAATAATGATTCACTAGAACGCGACAAAACGTATAGAATCTAATGAACGCAGATATGACCTGTTCGATATAAGTCTGATACGCTCTAAAATGAATGCGAATGTAGTTTTAGCCACAGGTAATTATAACCAAACGTATCGTGTCACGGCCTTTGTTTAACCACCAAACATGCTGTCAACGACACGTGGTAATTTGTTCCATCAGGTATTCCCGGTACACATGTGAGATCATATACTGAAGGATATCAATTATCCCGATATTTTCAGACAATGAATGTCCCATTTTTCTGGCTTTCGCTATTATTACCGGCTTGAAAGCGAAATTTAGCCAGTGTTCACGCTGATTCATCATATGTGAGTGCAGAATTTTTTGAAATTCTGGACATTTCCGTCATGTCAAGGTATGATGATGTTACCTTCTGTTATGTTATGCCTCGAGGATTAGAGTGAATGCTGGTCAGGTCCTATTCTATCTTACGCTTAAACGCATCATAATATTGGTTTTACTCTTTAAAAAAGTCAAAAATCAGCTTTGAGTAGTGCATAAGCGTTTCACTTCTTTCCATTTACCAAATTATGAAATAAGCTTGAGAAAACGAAACCCCGTTTAAAATAATACCTCAAAATTTCCAGAATCTCAGTACTTGTATCTGCCATTATAACATCTAAAAAATACATTCATTTAATCATTTCATCCCAAGAAAGGCGGGAATGCAACTAATACGCACGGGATTACAGAAAGTGAAGGTGAGAGAAAAGATTGAAAATATTGGAGACCGAGGAAAGGATAAAAGGTAAACTGGGTTCAGTTAGATAAGAGATGGCGATTGAAGTTGCATTTAAATGTTTGAAGATTGTAGTTAACAGAGAAACAAGGAAACGGAAGGGAGTTCCACAGACAGGAAGTGCGAGTAAAGAAACTCTTTGAGTAGAAGTGGAGGTTACATTTAACTATTTCAACAGTAAAAGGGGTGGGATCTAGATGCCAATATAGCATATTTCCTGATGCGCGGATTAGTCCGGCTATCAGGAAAAGCTCATCAAGCATTAAATGAAAATATTTGTAGAAAAGACAGAGGGAAGCCACGTCAGATTCGTGAGAATATGACTGACGTCGAGATGCCATATCAGGATTGATTACATTAGAGATCCTTATTTGGATGTTGTCAAGAACCTCGAGATTGGTAGCAGGAGCATCTGACCAGATATGGCAACAGGATTCAATGCACTGACGAATGGTAGTTTGTAAATGTGCAAGATGGATTCTGACAAAAAAAACAAAACAAACTTCTGGCACGACACAGTGAGTCAATTATCCTTGCAGTAAATGCAGCAATTGATTAATTGTTGTCATTGCACTTCAAGTCTGTTGAAAACATGAAGCCAATAAGGCGCATTGTGTCGCTCTCCATGAGTCTAGTATCAGCTATACTGAGGGTGAGCTTGAAAGTTTCTCTATGAAATGTAAATAGTATTTATAATAATAATGAAGACGGGCATATCCCTTAGCACGCTGTATATCTGTTCATTGGCTGGAGTATTATGGGGAACAGCATAGCCTGGTATTGAAAAGACTTAAGTTTGAAGGAAGAGGCAGAATAAGCAACTTGGGAGTCACATTAAAATACTTAGAAATACACTCAATCGGAGACGGTCTGAGCAGATTAGCTTATCATAAACGAAAGGTATTTCTACCTGCACCCTACATGCAAAGGTATGTGCTGATTCATTAAAACCTTACTATATCGCGACAATTTGGCTTTGACACATGTGTCATATTCTTATCAAACTTGATGTTATGATGCATATCCTGCCAATATTATTTTTTAATTGTATAATCAAATTGAAAAACATTTGCCTCTATTCAAACTTTTTTGCCTTAAGTGATTATTAATGTGTCGGTAACAGAATATATGAAATATCAAGAATATGTATGAGTCAGAGAACTTATATGTGTCATTGAAAAAGAATCTTTTTGGAATAAAGGTTCTGAAAAATATACTTAGGATACACACTAATTCTTCCTGAAAATAAATTCTATAGTCTAGTGAATTGGATCTTGAAATGAGTCCTTCACTTCTGTAAGTCTGTGACACATTGAATTAATCTTTAAAAATAAAATGACGTTACATAAATTTTTCATTGTCAAGCTATTTCCAGTGACAATTAAAATGGAATTAATTTGATTCTTACGGTAAGTGTGGCCACCAAACTTGTCTCGATATGTTAATCTACGCTAAACATGTAGAAAAGTTTTACTCACGGGATTTAGTGAAAGTAAGAGGGGAAACAGTGATTAATGAAGCTTTGAAAAAGGCGTGGCAGAATAAGGAATGCGAAGGACATTAGAAAGAAACTCGTTAAGAACATAAAAAGATTGGTAGTAGCGGAGAGACATGATCACCGACGTCCTGAATGTATCCATATCTCTTCAGATCTTTGTATATCGCCTGTGTTCCTCGGTATGGAGAAAGTGTTAATGTCTGGTTGATAATTACTACTGTGTCATGAGTTCATCCTTTACGTGGTACCCAATACTTGTGGCCTTGTTAACGCTTAAATGACTAATATGTATGTAGGTGTGTGGCTGAGATATGGTACGAGACCGAAAGTATGTAAGGCATGTGCTACATTAAGCTACGGTCAGTAAATCACTCATATATACGAGGATAAGTACAAAATTATACACACGTTAGCCATAACACATCTTTATATAAGAACGTTTTGAACTTTCCCTTGTATGTTGTATATATATATATATATATATATATATATATATATATATATATATATATATATTATTATTATTATAGAGATCTTATAAGTATTCGTAAAACCTTCGGTGTATTGATTTGCAAAGAAAGAAGCCAACACCAAAGGGGAAAATGATATACAAAAAGAAAAAATATGTACGTTAACCGAAAATAATCATCCAGCATACGAGTTCAAGGTCCAAAGAAGAAAAAAAAAACGAGTACCCAAAACAACTAAAGAAAGTGCTCAATACAATGAGTAGAGCAGACCTAGTTAAACCTAGAGAGCCAGACAAACCTACCAAGGTTTCACCTAAGCAGATCGTTTGTCTGGCTCTCTAGGTTTAATATATATATATATATATATATATATATACAATGCGACTTTTTTCGACAGACTTTCATGTTTGTAGCTCTTTCTTTTTTTTAAAACCTTTTTTTCCTCGAGATTGATTTGATTATTGGCAAATCAAAAAATTGAGGGTTTTTCGAAACGAGTATAGTTATATATATATATATATATATATATATATATATTAGAATGGGTATGAGTTTGTAACACTGGGTTTCACACTTATGGGATCCTCAGACAAAGTCATATCCATACTACTAAATATGTCAGCTATATCAATAATAACAATAATATAATCTCACAGTGGAAATTATTAAGTATTGCTAATGTTTTCATTGGATGAAAACAGATTATGTCCATGGAAGTAAAGTAATGTTTATATTTAGCTAGTATCAGGTAAAAGCGCAGAATCACTCTCTTCTGAGAGATTTCTGACTCCACCAAAGATATTCAAAGTCAATTCTCGCCGATGTCATGCAGGGAGAAATCCCTAAGATCAGATTGACCGATCATTGAGAGCTTTTATAGATCAATAAACACAACAGATTTGTATTTATTAAAGAATCTCTCTCTCTCTCTCTCTCTCTGTCTCTCTCTCTCTGATTCCTCTGCCACCTGACATCGTGTCAGCGTTTTTAACTGACGCGTGTAAGCAGAATACAGAGAAAGAATGCTCGATAAATAATGCGTATGAAAGTGTTTGAACCCCAATCAAATGAGGGATCAAATGATTGATGTTAGGCTTGCTTGCGGGCAACAAATGAAACGATAGCGACCGGACAAACCCATTAGGGACAAGGAGCGCTACTGCAAAAAGCAGGGATTATTATTAACATCTGATTCTCTCCCATAACTCTTGGCCTTTTATACATTTAGGATTTCGCGTCAAACGCTTTAGACTCTTGGAAGGGCGAGCCTTATTCGCAAATATGAGCAGTTGGTGCTGTTTATTTAGCGGCATATCAACCTTTATGTTATTTGATGCCGAAATCTAAATAATTTAGACATATTATCATGCCTTCAACTAAATATATTTTGAATGAAATTGTATGCCTTCAACTACTGATAAAATATATTGTTGGTCATTTCACTATAAAATGTATTACTGGTCATTCTACCATAAAATATGTGGTGGGTCTATCTTAATATATTTGGTTGATTTTTTTAGTAGAATATTGACCACTATGGTTTATTTAATGCCGAAATCTAAATGCAGTTGTCTATCTTCAACTACAGATAAAATATACTGTTGGTCATTTTATTATAAATATGTCTTTTTATACTTTTATTTATTTGAAATTTCAATCGACTGACGTAAAAAAGGCGATGAATTAAATCCACTTAACAATTTTCACTATTTACATTGCTCGGATTTACCGTTGTTGTCAAATTCAACAAACTAAGATATCCGGAAGAGGTATGGCACATGGAACTAGAACAGTCTACTCCGTTTGGCGAGATAACGAGTTCGGTTCGAAATTCCAATCACCCGAAGAAGGACGAAGCGTACAACGACCGAAACCTATGTGCTGATTCCTTGATGACTAAAGACTGTGTGTACGCTATCCCGTGCAGCTGCGGAAAGGAATATAAAGGAGAGACAGGCCGCCCCCTCAAGATAAGGCTTCAAGAAGACCAGAAAGCTGTAACGCCAGGGGAAGTAGAAAAATCAGGCGTGGCTGACCACATATGGAGAGAGAAGGGAGATCACCGCCCCCTGTGGGATCATGTTGAGATCATAGACAGGGAACACCATTGCAAAATTCGTAAACTTAAGGAATCAGCACATATGCTAGACCACAAAAATCTCCTGAGCCGACCAAGCATAGAAATAAATACAATATGGGAACCAGTAATAAGGAGAGCCAGAGAAAAGCAATGATAACAAAGTTGCAATATGAACTCTGGTAAAGACATGCAATGATAACAGCAAAATTGCAATATGAGCACTGGTAAAAATGATGCTGAAAACTTTAGGTTTATAATACTCAAAATTCATAACCAGATGTCCTCAATGACACATGGCACAGTGGATAAAGGCGTTGGTTAGATCCAGTGACAGACCCAAAGAAGGTGAGTTCAATACATGGTTAAGGCAGTGGAGAACTTTCAGAGGGAAAATTAGCAGGAGATAACTGATAACTGTCATCCATAGAACATGGAACTAGAACAGTCTACCCCAGTGATCGAAATAAAGGGTTCAGTTCGAAATGAAGAAGGCCAGAGCGTACAACGGCCGAAACGTTGTGACAAATATGGCGACAAAGATGAGGACAATAGTCCGACTAATGTAAATACTAGAAATATTATGTAACGATAAGTATAAAGCGCATCAAATATCATAACAGATTAAATAAAGAATTTTGAATATTTATCTTATAGAAGCTGTGTTGGCATGATTTACCTGAATTACCAGCAATATATAACAAGTTGACAGATAATATTGAATCATGTTAGATTATTAAAGTCTAAGTATAAAAATGTCAACTAGAACGACACTTTCAACAATAGAAACTATAATAAAAACAATATGTATTTGTAATAATAATGAAACAATATGAATGATATAAAAATGTGAATGCAAATATTTATATTATAATTCAAATTACTCTTTTATTTAGGCAAGTAAATGAAATAAGAAAAAAAATGATTCCGTCATAATATTTCCTTCCTCATTGAAATGAAATAAAGGATAACATCAAAAATAAGAGATAAGAAATATTCATTTAGTCAAATTTGAAGATATTAATAATAATGCAAATGAAATTATAATGAGTCCCAAAGGAATAATGGTAGACAATGATTTGTAAAACTCGAATATTTATGGCTTATGGCCACATCATGTTGAAATACCGTTTCCACTACGATCACCGAAGTTAAGCAACGTTGAGCCTTGTCTGTACTTATACGGGTGACCGTTTTGGAATACCAGTTGCTGCAAGCTTAGATGTTTTGGGGGTGCAATGGATAATGGCTCGGAATTGTTAATACGCACAAATACCCTTGGGAAAGGTATGACTCCACATATTATCTCACAGGTATGGGTTAATTAGTAAAACTTGTATCACTAAACCATTATCTAAAAAAAAAAAAATTAAAAAAATGACGTTATAATCTAAAATGTTTTCTAGCTTTAAATAACGTGCAAAGAGTTGAAAATCTTTATAAAACGAAACAATCCAATATTTCTAATTGATTAGTCTAAATAGAGTAATTGGAATTGTGAGGACTAAGGTGCAATTCCCAAATATGATTAACAATGCTTTTAGCAGACTTTCAAGACACAGGGCAAAAAAACAACATTTTTTTAAGTTGTCTATATTTTTCAAAATGATTTGAGACAATTTTTCACCGCTGAATCCGAAAATGACATTCGTTTCTCTCAATCAGCTCATGTTTTTGTGCTATGTAATACGCACAAATACCCTTGGGAAAGGTATGAATCCACATATTCTCTCACAGGTATGGTTTAATTAGTAAAACTTGTATCACTAAACCATTATCTAAAAAAAATTAAAAAATGACGTTACAATAATGGAAAAATTATTTCGCATAGAAAATATGTTTTATGGGGGAAGAGATGGAAAAAGTTGTTTTCTAACACAATTTATTAATCAAATGTTGCAAACATCGATTACAATAAACTGAATAGTATACATTGATAAATGTAAGTACATGTATATTGCATGTTACGTCATCATTGTTTACAAGTCAGGGCTTGAAATTCCATTTATTCAAAACCTTAAAATGATCAGCGGCAGGGATGTCTCTCTTCAAAGTCCAGCAGTAATCAACCATCAGAGTCCCTGATACCGAGTCTCCATCTCTTTCATGCGCTGGTTGAATCTCTCTCCCTGTTTGTCGTTATTGATCCCAAATTCTAAGGAAACTGATCCATATGTGAAAATAAATAATACATTTTGATGCTCGCAAGTGAGGTCTCTGAAAGCAGTCAGCATATTGAAGACAAGTTCTGCTGTTGCCAAGAACGTTCTTCACGACCAGAACAAAAGCTTTCCATGCTTCCAGTTCGACTTCGTAGATTGAATTTTCAAACTCTGGATATCTGATGAGCTGGCGGATTTGGGGGCCATCAATGATGACAGCTTTCAACCTCTCCATCATTAATCATGGAAAAGCCTGGCACAATTAAGTGAAGCAGCCACTATCGTATTACGTGTTATTTTTATAAATATTTTGGAGGTATGTTTTAATATTTATGAAGCTATATTTGGCTGAAAATAATTCTGATGGGTTAAAATTAATAAGTTTATAATTAACATAATTAGTTTTATTGTAGGAAATATGTTGTATATTTTGATATTTTAATGGACATGACAACAGAAACAAAACGTAAGAAACAGCCTGTAGCCATAGCTCAAATAGTGGACCTGATTGAGCAAAGCCAATGTGATTTTTTAATTCAGAACATCAAAATTGTCCTAAATCAGCTAAAAATATTTCGATAATAAATTTGATGTTGACCAAGTGTAATTCAAGAATAAATTGTAATTATGATGAGGGGACTGTTATGCTGATTTTATAATGCGTGACAAAGCTTTATTAAGCAAAAGAAAACCTAGAAAAATCCTACTTCTAATCGGAATGTCAATAATACTATTGAAGTTATGAAGAAATACAACTAGCAAATAAATAATAGTGGACAAGGTTTCATCTGATACAATTCTAAAATGATACAACTGTTAGTATGAATAAAATATGATATATGATATAGTAGTCTCAATTGAATAATGGTAGACAGTGTCACATCTTGTAAAATATCAGTATTCTTCTACTATAAAAATTGCTAGTTTAAATAACGCAATCGAAATTATGAGGACGAGAATAGTGCTACATTTAATATATGTATGGCATCCATCGTTTTCGAGAGACCCTTGATCTGTGATCTTATGAGAGTTCGACAGTTGCTCATGCAGTACATCTCCCCCTTTCACGCCACCGATATTATCTAAATGACAGGCAGATACAGATACAGCTTAGCACTGAGGCCGTCGCAGGAGTCCAACGAAATTGTCTTAGTGACTCTGGATTTTGAATTCAGATTTATCCTTCTAGTCTGGTGGCCATAGCTACAAAGATTCCCTAGTTTGATGTTTTGAATTCAGTGTTTTTCTTCTCCTAAACAGGTTGCCACCCACGGCTATGGAATCCTACTCTTTACCTATAGCTTGGGGGAAGAGATGGATTCATATCTTTCTCAAGTATACTAGCACGTCACTGAATACAATAAACCCGACTTGAATTCGAATTCGGCTCTTCGATTCCTCAATCCGAGTTGCAATCCATTACTCCATTCTTTAGAATTTTACTATACTACTTTTATTTGATGTGTCACTTGGGAACGTGGGAGATTTTTGCTCTCCAAGAATTCGTATACCTAAGCAATGTTTGATCATTTATAATCCCTCTTACTCTTTGCTGAACCCCACCTAGTATTTTACTGTCGGCCTCTTTTGCTTTTAATGTATCCTGTGTGTATCAGATTTTCCAGGCAGCCAGTCATGATTAAATGTCTTAGAGATTTAGACTTGCCTTTTCTGATTCTAAGCAAGATTTTCCTTTTCGTTCAAAATTCCTTAAAAATTCTTTGCTAATATGTTCAGTTCGTACTAAGAATACTATTGCTCTAGATAAAAGATACGTGTAATTAAGATGAAGGAAAATAGTTAAAAATCAATAATGGGAAAACTTGTTTTATTTTTCCCTAACACCTTTTGAAACGTGAAAAAATTAAAAACAAAATTGATAGTTTCGTGGAGAGTTAAACTGACAACTAAGTTAGTATATCAAATAAAATCATTATCAACAAACACGATTCACACCATACAATTGCAACATTAGGAAACCTTCAAAGAGATCTCAGACAAGAAAATATCAGGAATTGCCCTGCGAGAATCAGACGTTGAGTTACTTTAATGTATTCCTAGCTACAGGTGCCTTGTAAACGATGCTGTGATCCAAAAAGCAAAAATGAAAGAATCTAAAAAATCGAAATCACGATTGAGATAATCCGGGCAATTCACTTTGTGAGGATGAAGTTAAGAAAAACCTGATGCCTCTAACCAGAACCTATAGTACTTTAATTTACATGTAATATTAGAGGGGAATATCGATGCGTCAGATTAAAGTTTAGTAATAAAAACAAATGGAAGATAGAATTGAAGAAAAAGACAAGATCAATAGGAAGACATTTGCTACGAATTGACCTAAGAGAAGGAGGAATACAAGCCGGAATAAAGAACTTTAAAGAGGGGGACAAAGTTGGAAAATGTATTGTAAAGTAAGGAAGGAAGAAAAAGACAAGAGAAAAGAGGTTATCAATGTTAGATGAAGGAAACACTTGCAACAATAAATCATTCTTCTGGAGTTAGTTTAGACTGATACATTTTTTTCGATGTAATATGACAATTTTTTTTATTAAAACTCATCTTGATTTCACATGAAAAATCTGGAATTTTTCCAACATATTTCAGTGAAATGTTCCTTTTCCAAAATCGAGGTTTATAATTATACTTTCGACATTTGGGAAAAAAAGGCGTCGGTTTAAAATGACGCCAGATTAATATAGGTTAAAGAAATTTGTTGAAACTAGAACGAACGAATGATGAGAAGTTAAAAAAAATACGAATTATAAAAACAGTGGTCAGATGAAAAATAAAGAGGCCGATATATAATCCACAAAACGAAATCAAGAAATAAACAGTACAACTCTGAACAGTGTGTGCTGAATGCGCGTCGGTACAGACGCAAAAAAAAGGCCTCGGATCAAGTGCGGACATGTCTGTCAGCACCATTTGCATCATGCTTCCCCTCCCCACTTACTACTACTGTACTGATGCGGCATTCACCCGGGGCGGATTGAGCCGGCTTCTTCCTGTTATGAGAAGAAGATTCTTGGGATAAATTACAGAAGTAGGGTACCCAGGCCTACTCGGATAACGTTCTTGCTTGGCGCGGGGTTCCCACAGACGCAGAGACAGGAACGACCAGAAGCCGCCGGTTACCGATGCAGACGCTCCTTGGATTTTCACCAGAGCCCTTGTTAGCCGGCGTGTGTGTCAGACCTGTCCGCCTTGAGTGGCCCTACCAGGAACGAAGTTCCGGGCGGCATAGCTCTGACACTACCGTTTACACCCCCCCACCGACTGTGAGGTAAGGGTTGGACTTTGCCAAAGTCCAAAAGTCCTCCCCACTTAACAGCGGGACAGCTTGGCGTGTCTAGATACGGGCCTCTTTTCTACTTGTCATGACCTCGGTCTTTATAATATGCCCCATGCCAATACAAGCAACGCTAAAACCAGCAGTCGGGAAGATACGGTGTCTTGCGAAGTCGGTCCTGTGTGCATTTTGTTCCTAAAGTTGCTGTGGTTCCCGAGACAGTTTTATTTTTGTTACCTCCCGTCTATTTACCCTCTCTGCCTGTTACCTCCCGTCTATTTACCCTCTCTGCCTGTTACCTCCGTAGTTGCTGGGAGAGGCACCTTAACCTCAACATACTCTTGCCGTACATTCTAACACAGGGGACAGGAAGAAATAAGTGGAAAGAAAAGTGTGAATGAAATATGGTGGGTAATAAAAGAAGTAGAGTCGATTAGCACAAACTAGACGAAGAGAAAAGAATATTGGGTTGTATCAGGTGTTATAATTTTCTACTTGTCAAAAGATAAACATCTTGGGCAAAAGTTAAAAATTACGAATAATTACAGAAACGTCAAAGAATTGGGCTGCGTAAAAAAAAAATATTAATCAGGAAACTTGAGGTTGTGAGGAAAAAGATTTTACGGTTTTTTCTAGCGGTCACAGACCACGATCTCTCATTTTCTCTCACTAGACGTCACGGGTCACATTTGATAGAAAGCAAAATTATTATTGCTTATAGATTGGATAGAGCAGACAAATAGACTTCCAAAATTTTTGTATCAAATTATTACTGTATGTGGCTTTTGTCATGAAGGAGAAAAAGATTTCCTACTAACGAAGGCTGGACGCTTTTTGATTAATGTAGTTGCAGTTGCTGGTCATAAAAGTTTGAATTTAAGTGTTTCATTGCACTTGAAGAACTCTAAATGAGCAATGATTCTACCACACGCACAGCGTCATCTATCCTGCGTCGAGATCAGCTTTGGGGCTGGTTCCGTTGATTTAACCTTGTCGATTCACTTCCTATTGTGTTGAACATTCTTATGATTGAGTAAGCTAAATTTATTACCTGCCATTTATGATTTAAATGCATAGATTCATCATTACAATTGGTTCTGCAAAATGAAAATTACTTATGATTCAACCTAATAATGTATTCATGTATATAGAATATTGCGTTAAAATATATGGCTTCTATTTTAAATTTTATTTATCAATATTTATATGTTTGACTTTATATAAATCCTGATATAATGTTATTAATAACAGTTTAATAAGATAAAACAATAACAACTGAAATAACAGCACGATGTATCTAAGAATAGATATTAGGACAATCTAGAACATTTAGTGCGAACGAAGCGCATGCGTACGGTAGAAAAGGAAATGTACACAGAAATAGAAAGGGACGGAAGACAATAATGCGTATTTTGTCCGGATTTATTTAACCTAGCAGCGAAACAATCAAGAGAAGCTTGATTTCCAAGCGATTATTAATTAATTTTGAAACTTGAGTTCCAGCGATTATTATTAATTTTAGGGAAAACTTTAACACAATATAAGCAGATGAGTGTTGATTATAAGCAAAAAGAAAACTGCAGGTATTTTTAGACAAAATAGAAAAAGAAATCGAAAGGAAAGGACGATTATAAAAAGACAATATATGATCCTTACCAAGCAAAAGTTTTCAAGATGCTAGCTAAAAACGGGGGAAATCAAGTAAGTACATTAATTTGATACAACAAAAATTCCAACATGATAAACTTCATCTGGCAACAAGGCTTCTGATCGGGAGATTGGAGGTTCTGTGGACCGTGGAACCATGTTTTAATGGCAGTTATTCTCTCGTCCTGACCTAGGATGGCAGCACCTTTTAAGGTCCCAGCTATGGGTAAATAGTGAACCCCCAAACAAAATAAAACAATATGAATATATATATACACACACACAAAGTAATACATTTTAGTTGAAGGTATACAATTGCGTTCAAAATATATTCAGTTGAAGTTGTTATAGAATTTTGTTGAAAATATTTAGTTTTCAGTATTAAATGACCCATAGATGTTGATATGCCGCTAGACAAAATCAAAGAAAACAAAAACAAAACTTAATTGGAACATTTCACTGGAAACAAACATTACTCAAATGTTGTACAGTCAATCGTCCTCCATGAGAGCTAATGTTGCAAGATTTCGGCACAGATGAAGAGAAAACATCAAACAACATAGATATGGTTCTATAGAAGGGAGCAGAGAATGCCATGGGCAGAACATTAATGCAAAAGGGGAAGTTGTAATGATTATCAGAACCAAAAGTAGCCTTGTTCTCAACATAAAAATCGTTAAAAATTCTTGGATATATAAGGAAATTTGGCTTGGAGAATTTTACACGTACATTACTTAATGAAAGCAAGATGGACTAAGGAAAATGTGTAACCTACTTCATGTACAGGTTTAAATGGATGATAGAATATGAACTTGGAGGGATATTAAGTGGGAGCATTGTTTATGGCTACAAAGGTTTAAGTTATGGAGAGCTATGTTCTCCATGAAATGACACGTTACATAAAAAATAGTGTTTCATCCAAGATTTATAAATCGATAATTTGTTTTTGAAACATAGAAATCAAGCATATATACAACCAGAAAATTCCTAAAAAAATTTAAAATGCCAATATTCTTATTCTTACACACGTGAGCAAAAATATATATATATATATATATATATATATATATATATATATATATATAGATAGATACACCTAGTGAGCCAGACAAACCTACCTAGGATTCACCTAAACGGATCGTCAGGAAAGTTTTTCGAAACGAGTCTAGTTATCAATATATATATATATATAATATATATATATATATATATATATATATATATATTGTTGTGAATTCGGGATGAAATCTGGTACCAATAAATAAACAAACGCCAAGAATGAATATAGGAAAATAATGTATTAACGTAACAATACAAACTGGTAATGCAGGTTAGTAGTTCCAGGAATACGGGTTAGTAGCAAAATATCTATACAGCCTTTGGTATTGAAGTATCGCTGTATGACTGCTTACTGAGTCTACGTGCTCGCTCACTGTGACACTTGCTCTCTACGTTCGTTCTGTCTGTCTGTCTGTCTGTTACCTTCACCCTCTGTTACTCTCGTCTCTCGGGTCTTCACGTAGCAGTAGTATATGTATATACTGGGTGAGTCCATTTGTGTAAAAAGGGGAGGACCCTCAACTTATATATATATATATATATATATATATATATATATATATATATATATATATATATATATATATATATATTTACAAAAGTAGCATGAATTATAAATTTACATGAGTATCTCTTATGTATAGTAACATTCGCACATTGTCATTCACTTTTGTTGCAATTAAATTTATTATTGCTTTTCAAGGATGAAATTAAGATTTTTTTTCTTATTAATGAAAACATCGTCGATTATGACGATGACTAGCAATGATCAAAAGACGTCTAACAGAATCTTTGAAATTTTGAGATTTTATTTAAAAAAGAAATTCTGATTCTGTGTCTGCTTATAGGTAAACTAAAACTAATAACTGGATATATTCAGTCGATTTCAATATGACATGTTTGTCCCCCACCTTTCTCTCTTATATTTCATAGTATGGCTTCACGAACAAAGATTTAGGAGGCTTCTCACGTAGAATGCAGAAGCGTGGGTAGACCTGAGGCTAGCGTTTGAAAAGTTTTAAAGGTGCATCGTGCGTGACCGACCCTATACTATAAAACCTAGTCTCACTAATCATAGTCATCCGACATATGACTCTACGTATCTATGTATGTAGAATTAGAACTTTTTTTATATATTATGCAATATGTGTTGATATTTCACTTTAATTTTATATATATACTCTTAAGATGGAGGAGGCACAATGCAGTAATAGATAGCGGCTCCGATTGAGGAATCGGAGAGTGGAACCCATTGCATTAACTTACGTGTTAATACCCTTAGGAATCCTATTCTATCGGTAAATAGTAGAGCAGACTGGGTTGTATAGCCTTGGGTGGTAACTGGTCTACCGCAGAAAGAAATGGCAATCTACTGCGGGAAAAAATCTGCCTCGTCAGTCATGTATCGAAAGAGACACCATGCATGGCACATAACTGACTCTTAAGATAACCCTTATCAATCATACAAATCTAACGTCATACAATAAATATTTAAGATCAAAATTGAAATCATTTAATTTACGAAAATATTGAGGCCCCGTACATAGTTGACATATTTTTTAAGGTATTCCTTAAAAATGTTTTTAAATATAAAAGGAGAGCAATAATACAAATATATTGTTAATATATTGTTAATGACTAGAAATGTCCCAGAATTAAATAGTGAAATCGGACATTTTTTTTAAAAACGAACTCATTTCTCTTCATTATATTTAATCTTATATGTTAAAAGTGTATAAATTTCTAATTATTTTTAGAATTTTAATACTATTTCTATTTGTTTTTCACTCTTTTTCTGAACTTTATTAACAATGAATATTCACGAACGAATTTTGACCACCCCACCTCCTGATTTTTTGCATGAGGTTTCATAAAAAACAAAAGATCAGTAGTTTTGCTGAGTTTAAAAAACACATTCAGTAAGCAATGCAGGAGATAACATCTGAAATGCATCAAAATTGAAATTTTCAAGGATACAGACGGAGCACACGTTGAGAATTTACAATAAAGTTTTCGTATACGATATGTAAATGTATTATAGTAATAAACATAAAATTGCGAACGCTTTTAAAATATTGGCCTGATTTCATTGAAAGAGAATAGCTAATTCTGGGACATCCTGTATAAGATTGGACACAGCGTCAACATTGAGTGGGTACACTTGTTTCATTCTTGTATTCAATGCCGGAAGATTGTTTTCACTCGGATTTGACCTATATATATATATATATATATATATATATATATATATATATATATATATATATATATATATATATGTGTGTGTGTGTGTGAGAGAGAGAGAGAGTTTGTGTTTATGGGTGAAGTATTACCCACAATCGCCGGGGACAAAACGCACTAGGGACAATTTCTCCATACTTAATCCTCAAAAATATAAATTGTATCAGAAGATACAATTAAGAAATCTTGCATAATATTCCATTCGAATATATATATATATATATATATATATATATTTATATATATAGATAGATAGATATACATATATATATATATTTACGTAGCATATCTTCATTCAAATATGTTTTATTGAATATAGACATATATCATAATAATCCGTTCCAGTCCTCTAATCAGTTTCTTGATGTTAATAATAAATTCATCAAGGAAGGCGTGGTAGTTCTTATCAAGAAACTGATTAGAGAAATATATATGTGTGTGGGTATGTGTGTATGTGTGCGTATGTGTGTGCATATACGTGCATCTGAATGTAGAAATAATTCTGCGTGTTCCTCATGTGTTTATGCTAATTCTTTCTCAGATTGCTTTTGCAAACAGAATAAATATGCAGAAAAACTGTAACAACACCCACATGAAAAAAAGAAAAAGAAAAAGAAAGTAATATTTAATGCTTATCTTATGTAATTCAATTTCTAACGTTCCGTATGTCCACAATCGTTTTTACTGCTTCAGAAAATAACAGAAACACTGAGATTCGTTCATAGCATTGATATGTTTCTTTTTATCTTGAATCCCCAAATAAATTACAAATTACATATACACTGCATTTCATCCTGGCAGAGTGGTGGTCATCGTGGAGGGAAGTTTTAGTTTCGATTTTCTTAAGCTTCTGAATTGTTTGGTAACAATTCATTGATTTTTTTTTATTTTGTTTGCCAGTTTCTACTTCTCGATTCATCCTTGTTGCTCCTTTGTTCCGTCAGAGACAACCACGTGGAATATAATCGACACAAGCAAAGATTCGAACTTCGAACATATCCATAATGTAAACATATAAGCCTGTAAGATCAAATAACACTCATAACCTTAGACCGAGTTCATCAACTGCTAAATAGATAAATGTATCGGTACCTACGACAAGAGACATCGGTTCTGCTTTTCTCACAAAATAAAAATTTAGGGTTATCATACGAAATAAAAGTTGTTTGAAAGTTGTTAAGTTGTTACCCGAAGATTAATCAAACTCACTGGCAAGATAAAGAAAAAAAGCTGTGCTTGAGAAGGTTACTAAAACAAATTTAAGAAAGATTAAAAGTATGTTGAGTCAGAATAAAAGGGATTGGCAATGAAGAAAATATTCGAAAAAGCTGGCGTTTCAAATATAAAATGAGAGCAATAATACAAATTATTGATGGTATCGGTTAAAAACACGAATGCAATTAAACTAAATTGAAACTTGACGTAAACATCATAATGAGAATTTCGGTATATATACGTGAAAACATTTCTTTTCAGAACTATTCATGATGAACTTAGAGCTAAAATTAGATCAAATAGCAAGACATTAGTTTATTTTGTTTTACGGTATATCCACCCCAATAGGTCATTTAATACCGACAAGATTTTTAGGCTAGGTTCGTATGAATAGAATTTTGTAAGAAATCAGTTTGTGGATCAAGTTTCATTGACATATTTTTGTAAAGGGGTTTTTGTCAAGAATCAAATGTATTGCTAATAATTAAAAAAAAAATATATTAGGGGTATTTTTTTTCAAAAATATATTGCATGTAATATTTAATTTTCTTCAAAGATACATTGCTTGTATTTTTACTATAAGAATCTTTTTTATACTTTCATACTATTTTGACCCTAGTTTGGGGAGGGATATTTATTTACTCATAGCTAGGACACTAACAGGTGCTACCACCCCGGGTCAGGGTGAATAACAGTAATTCAGAAGTGGTTCCAGTCTCCTCAAAACCCCCATTCAGAGGGCTTACTGACGGTGCTAGAGTTTGAGAAGATGATGGAAATAGTCAGCCAATAAGAATTAGAAAAGAACAGGTGTATTTTTTCCAGTAAGGCTCACTCTTTACAAGGAATGGTGGCTAGTCGAGGTAGAGGGTTAGGTTTGGAGATAATTTGTGCGGATATCAGTAGAATATAACGGTTAACCCTAGACTTGAAGAGGTTATGATTGTAGAGATCGTGGAAACATCCTTTAGGGAGTCGGTGGAACTTACTTCTCATTGATGGAATGTGGATGGTTTTCTACTAAGTAAGGGTCATAGAGTTTCCTTGCCATGAATATTTAAATTGGCAGGACCAGGAATGGTACTTCGTCCGAGCACTTTCTGTGGAAGTAACGATGGAGCAGCGAAAGACAAGCCGCATCCCGCCTCTGTGTGTGTGTGTGTGTGTGTGTGTGTGTGTGTGTGTGTGTGTGTGTGTGTGATAGATAGATAGATAGATAGAGATAGATAGAGATAGAGATAGAGATAGATAGAGATAGATAGAGATAGAGATAGAGATAGATAGAGATAGATAGAGATAGAGATAGATAGAGATAGAGATAGATAGAGAGATAGATAGATAGAGATAGATAGAGATAGATAGATAGATAGATGCAAGGGTTGGAAACTGGAGAATAATTCGTCACCCACAAAGGGTCGGAGACTATTTAGGCTAATACTCTAAGTAGTAAAATATAGATTGTTTCAAATATGTAGATATCATCAAGATAAATGCCGAATTATTGTAAGTTTCAAGCCAATCCTGTTTGAGCGATACAGATCAGAAATAATTTTTAAATAACATGTTCATGTAAGAAATGCCAGTTCTTATTCAGCGATACTGATTCTTGACAAGCTTACCAAACAAATGATTTAAAGAGAGCAAACTTATAGAAACCTCCACAGCTTCTCCACATATTAATCCAATAAAAAGATCGTAGTCCATCATGTAAAAGGATGAATATGAGAAGAGAAGCATAGATGATATCTGTGCATTAATAAAGAAATTCACGTCAAAGAAAAAGAAATAGTAAGTACATATTTCCGCATACATTTGAAAGTGCGTGTTTGTAGGGGGTGTTATTGTTAATCCAACACAGTTTTTCAGCTTAAATATTATTAATAAGAAAGCAACGGAACGGGCCTGAAATGAAACTAGAGCATAACAAACTAATTTTCTTGTAAGATGGATGACAAGTAAATTACACACAAGATATTCCAGTATAGAAAATGTCAAGTCTAAATCACAAAAATTGATTCTCTTGTATATTTAAAAAAGATGTACGCTTAGTCAATTGTCAGTAGATAATTGAGTCGAAAATATTATGATAGGCTGCAGTATGCTTAAGTGCAAAATCTCAAGAATTTTCCAAGCTAATTCTTTCGCATGTTATTTGGATAAAGCTTATAAATCAGTTTTGAATTGTCAAGGAAAGAAAATGACCGAGTTGGCTAGCGAAGAAAACAAAAATTTCTGAACTGGCTGTGGAAGAAAGAAAAAGATTTCCGAATTGGCTGGGGAAGAAAGAAAACGATATCGGAAGTGGCTGGGGAAGAAAGAAAAAAAGAAAGAAAAAGATTTCCGAATTGGCTGGGGAAGAAAAGATTTCTGAATTGGCTGGGAAGAAAAAAAATTTCTGAACAGACTGGGGAAGAAAGAAAAAGATTTCCTAAAAGACTGGGGAAGAAAGAAACAGATTTCCTAAATGGCTGGGGAAGAAAGAAACAGTTTTCCAAACTGGCTGGAAGAGAAAGAAACAAATTTCCAAATTGGCAGGGGGAAAAATGAAACAGATTTCCGAACGGGCTGGGAAATAAAGAAACAGATTTCCGAACTGGCTGTGGAAGAAAGAAACAGTTTTCCAAACTGGCTGGAAAAGAAAGAAACAAATTTCCAAATTGGCTGGGGGAAAAATGAAACAGATTTCCGAACTGGCTGGGAAATAAAGAAACAGATTTCCGAGCAGGCTGGGGAAGAAAGAAACAGATTTCCGAACTGGCTGGAAAATAAAGAAACAGATTTCCGAGCAGGCTGGGGAAAAAAGAAACAGATTTCCGAGCAGGCTGGGGAAGAAAGAAACAGATTTCCGAACTGGCTGGAAAATAAAGAAACAGATTTCCGAACTGGCTGGGAAATAAAGAAACAGATTTCCGAACTGGCTGGGAAATAAAGAAACAGATTTCCGAGCAGGCTGGGAAATAAAGAAACAGATTTCCGAGCAGGCTGGGGAAGAAAGAAACAGATTTCCGAACTGGCTGGGAAATAAAGAAACAGATTTCCGAACTGGCTGGGGAAAAAGAAACAGATTTCTGAACTGGCTGTGAAAGAAAAAAAAGTAGATTTCCGAATTGGCTGTGGAAGAAGAAAAAGAAACGAATTCTTATAAACCTCTATTTTTCCAGATCCAGAAAAAAAAACTTAAATGAAACAAAAGACATTTAAATCATTGTTAAAAGTAAAACGTAATATACTGGACACTTATCTCCGAAGATAAAGTGGTAAATTAATTTCATGAAACCACACGTATGTGCATCGCCTGTCACCAAATTTTAGTAATAAGCCCACATAGGAAACATTGATGGAAACACTGCATGGTGATATTTCGATCTTCACATAATTGCCAGATCGAACCATGATGAGAACTAAAAATTCACGAACGTTCATTCCCCCTCCTCCTACATTATAATCTTTTTGATTGATGTGACTCTTTCAACTAACATGTGCATCGTTTCTGTTAACCTACAAGGGATTTCGAGATAGTTTCGCATCGGAGAATTATTTTTATTTCACTGTGATACAATCTTTCAAATAAGCGAACTTCATGAATCCTTATTGCTTATGTTTGCACGCAAAATCCCTTTGAGAACTTTGCAGGATATCCACTTACACTGTTTTACCTCATGTCAACGACTGACTAGCGAACCTGTTTGACAATCTATCGAATGAAGATTGACTTTCTTGTAGTTACTTTCGTTTGAATCCCGTTGTTAAGGTTTCTGGGGTGCGATAACATGAAAGCGAATAAGTACATCTATCGAAGGATTCTTCGTCGACTGGCCGAATTCAAAAGTGATGTGAATATTTGATGGATAAAATTTATTGAATATATATATATATCGGACGAATAAGATTTGTAGGTTGCCCAAGAGCAACTCAAGACAGAGGATTAATGAATTATGCTTTTGTAAGGGCGCAGGATATACGAAAAAAATTATACCGTAACGATTGGACTGGCAAACACTCGCGAGTTCTGGGGAGTAACCCCCTTACTACTTAAAATTGTTTTGTGATGTCAACAAATACTCATTGTTACTTTCGTAATGCTCGTTGTAGTAGAGACTTTGTAACCGCAGATACAACTATAGTAACGCCGTTGAACAATACTGGTGTCGGACGCCTTCGAATAACACTCACACTAATAGTACTTGATCGATAATACACGCTTGAATAGTAACCAACGAACAGAATACACTATAGATTATAGTATAGTGAGGAGTATAGAGATATAGGATAGACTAGAAAATGGTGGATCAATTAGACGCAATGCCTATTAAAATATATATACATTTCCTTTACGATCACGTGACCTACTTATTCAAAATGGGATCGACTGTTTGCAATCTGGCGATCTGTGTTCAATCTCCAGTGTCGGCAGCGACACTTTATTCCTATATAACACAGTTCAATCCGAACGAAATGAAGGTGAGTCAAATCGGTGCACGCGGCATGGCGTGTCCTAGCTGTGAATATCTATCTATACAATCAGAGTAAAGATCTTCGTTAAAATTACAACCTATCATCATCAATGGAGAAATCTCAGGATCTGCTCGGGGATGATGAAACGTTAACAAATTGGTTTATAGGCACTGATGTTATAAGATTGATTAAATCAATAATAGATATACAGGGTGAGATGGATATATCGTCGTCTAATTTACCCCAAAATGAAAACACTGACATCACATTTTAACGAATATATTTGCAAAAATAACACAAAAATAACTTGAAATAGTAAATACTCAATAAAATCACCATTGGCTTCAATCACGGCTTCCAGACGACTTCAGAGTCGCCTGCATCTCTTCAAGAATGTCTCCTTGTTTAAGTTGCTGAAAACTGTTAGAGGCTTTTGCTTCAGTTCATCATTGGTGTTACAAGGAGTTTTGTTGGTCTCTCGCCCCACGCACAATAATTAAGGGGTCTGCAGTTTCGGGAGTTACTTGGACAGATATAAGGGGTGATGTGTTCGCAGAAATTGTCTGACAGCCATAACTGGGTTCTCCTGCCTGTGTGGCATAATGCAGTGTCCTGTTGTCAGCCACAGTGTCTTGCAGTAGCTATCTTCTTGACCCAGGGCAGTACTACCACCTCAAGGCACTTGATGTAGTCCTTCGTGTTGAGTCTGAGTCTCTTATTAACAGATTCCAGAGTTCTTTTCTTAATAGAACGTTCAGAGTGAGTCATCCAACTCTAGGAATCCTCTCCGCTGTCCTCAGATAGTCACCCAAACACTGACATGTTCGTATTGAAGCATGTGGCGCAAATGCCAAGCAGTACAATATACCGTTTCCAAATTTCTGTCTGAGAGAATTGCGTCATAGTACTCTTTTTCTCACAGATAGCGCCCAACTGACCCTATTATAATTTGAAATCGACAAAAAAAAACACGCAAGCGTGAAAGTAAAAATATAAAATGGCGATAATTTACCCATCGCAACTTGTTTTAAGCGTAGCTGAGATATGGCACAAGGCCGAAAGTTCAGAGTACCAACGGAGGATCGAATTCAGTTCTCTATCGTAATTGATCTGGCGAGACAAGCTTGCTAGCCATTAGACCACTATGAGGTGCCTTCGCAACCTGTATATGTTTATTAACACGTTGAATATTGCTGTGTATTTCGTGTTAGAAGAAAATAGTTATCAAATGGAATTAAATGAGTAAATTCACTGATTTTCATGGACGCCGCTATTTTGGTTCCGATCAAGATCAGACTGAATACCGCAACACAACAGAATACATTTTGAATCAGATCGTGTTTTACGCTACTGTACTGTTTTTTTTTAAACAGAAATTAATTCTACTTAGATTATAAAAGAAACGTGATATTTCTCCTTTTTGGGACTCATCAGCATTCTCTACCGCCTCTCGAACACGGACCACTCCGATACGACGTAATCATCATACCTTTGGGCCATCGGGCTGCAGCGTCAAGGAGGAAACTAAGTTACGAGACATAATATTGTACATCACCTGGTGCTGACACAATAAAACCATACACACCACGTAGAACAGGCCCTTAGAGCAAAGACTTCTTTCACCGAGCTCGTTGTCCTAGTCGGTTGAGAATACACACTGCCGATGAGTCCCAAAATGGAGGAAACGGCCGTTCAGTGCTTTTCAGCATTATAGACATGATGAATCATTATGAAAAATATATAAAACCCCTAATTAGTAATCAATAATATCACTTATGCTGGATCCAGCTTCTAATTCTAAGGATGGGTGGCTCAGTGAAAGAAATCGTTGTTCTAGGGGCCAGTCCGGAGTGTTCTGTATGCTTGTATAGTGTTACTACCAGAAAGGATGAGGTGTGCTTGATTATGTCTAGTAACTTAGTTTCCTCCTCGCCACTGTGGCCCGTTTTCTCAATGGTACTATGTTTGCGTGGTATCGGAGCGGCTCGGGCTCGACTAATCGTAGTAAGAGTCACTAGAGAATGCGCACTGCGGATGAGTACCAAAATGGATGAAACGGCTCTCCAATGCTTTTCTGTATGTGTGTGCGTTGAGGATTCTGGTTACATATATATATATATATATATATATATATATATATATATATGCAGACAGACACTTGGGGTTGGTTCCTGACTCCAAAATAAAGTAAAATGTCCATATAAACATATATGTAAAAGGACATCGTTGTACCTCAACACACCAACTCATAACACATTTTCTATTGCATGATAATTGATACAACAAGTTCTTCAGGCGAATTCAACATTCAAGTCGTCTGAGGATCACGTAATGACTAGGGCCATTTTTCATAGGAATTTTACATTGTCAAGCGTTTTTTGCTGTGTTTAGACATTGATGACTTTAATGTAGGCACCTCCACTTTTTCGCGGAAAACGGCATAGCGTAATGAAAAATGCCACAAACTTAACGTAAATCAAGTTTTATCGTCAAAATGCTTATGTTATTATCAAGATGAAAGACCAAAGTATTTTTTAATTATTTTTTGAAATTTTTTATTATTTTTTAACACGTTCGAAATTTTGGTTAAAATCTTCTTTTGTTTACGTCATTGCGGTGCTGTTAAAATAACATTTTTTTCGCGCCTTTTTTCCGTTGAAAACACATTGATTTGGAAATTCTTGTAAAAATCAAGTAATTGTCCGATTTTAATGAAATTTTCAGGACTTATTCACAAATGAATGAAATTATTTTTGAAATATTTCTTTCTAGAAAATTTTGGTAAAAAATGTTTTTTTTTAAATATGTTACACCCCACTTATTTTCCTGAAATTTCGTTCAAAACCTTTTTATTTCCTGACAATTTTTTTTTTGTTAAAGTAAAAGTCATTAGAGATGGTAAATCACCTACTCTTTTTTTTCAAATTTGCGCTAACTAAAAATCTGCTCTGAATTGAAAAATAATGAATCCAATAAATCTATGATATTACTTAATTAGAAAAGCTTTTAATTGCTTTTGTAAATAAGTAATATTAAGGTCATTATTGCCTGAAGAAATAAATTTTTTCTGATGAATAATTAAATTTTACAAGAATTTTTTTCATTTGTTTTACATTTTAATTATAATAATTTATAATAGTTTAAAAATCTTGCAAAATTCTGTATTAGCCTATTTCCTTGTGATAATTAGTAATTAAGTAGAAAAAAAATTGCAAAGTATAATAAACTTAGTGGTGCTAATTTTTTTTCATATAATTTTTCATGTTTAATTTTTTTAATTAATACGTTCCGTATTTCCATGTACAGTAGACTGAAATTGCCATTATTATAAAAAGAGTTTTGCACCTTTCACTAAAACTAAAAAAAAAGCGTTCACTCAGATTTCTAATAATTTTCATTTATGGTCATCCGTAGTAGCTGTCATCACTCGTCAATCAACACGTAGATCAAGTATTGGATAAAAATAACAGTACCAATCGTTAATAATTGGTTGTATATTATTTTTTATGCTAGAAGTAAGTAATATTTCTTTTAAATCAGATTAATTTAACATTAAATTTTCTAATTTTACTAAAATAAAGTGTCAGAAACTTTTTTAAATATTTTTAAAATCGATAAATTTGTGTTTGTTTACAAATTTCGTAAAATTAAGAAAATGGCGGGAATTACGAAAATTTAAAATTCCAAAATAAAATTTGACATTCCAATGTATATAGTTTCTATCTGAAATACACCAGAATTGTTTCCTTAATGGAAATAATAAATTTAATGATTAAACTTTCAATTAAAGCTAAAATGAAATCTTCAAGCATGTTTTTTTCATTTTTAAAAATTTATTTTAAAGTTAGGTATCGGAAATTTTGCCGGAAAAAGTGGAGGTACCTACTTTAATGGCAAGGTAGGTGTTTGCATTTAGGTCTTTTTTCTTTTTTGATTATTACTCTCCTTGTTCGGGATTTTATATTTTATAAGGTAATCAGATCTTTTAGCAAGTTGTCCGTTGGTTCCTCCAACGGTTTTAATTTTTTTT